TTAATTTTTTTCTTTAAAAAAAAGTATTTACATTAGCTTTCAAATTATTATGGGACCACAGAAACAAGTACAGTTGTACCTTGGAAGTTGAACGGAAACCGTTCCGGAAGTCCGTTTGACATTCAAAACATTTGAAAACCAAATCACCGCTTCTGATTGGCTGCAGGAAGCTCCTGAAGCCAATCAGAAGCCACGGAAGTCATGTCGGATGTTCGAGTACCAAAAGAACATTCACAAACTGGAACAATAATTTCCGGATTTGCGACGTTTGGGATCCAAGATACGACTGTAAACAATAACAAAAATCCAGTAATATATCCAACTAAAGGCAAGGCATACAAATCCTAAGCTGTTTTAAAGAACGACACCCAGTCTAAAATCATGACAACCATATTTCTCTAGGCTGCCTGGGGAGAGATACCTGTAGACTTGAAATGAAACTATATGAAATTTAAATACCACCATAATGAGTAGAAGTGATCAGGATCTTTCTGCCCCATAGAGACCCACAATTTCCGTATTATTTTTTCTGCAATAAAAATAAATTCCAGAGAGTTTTATACTGTAAGGATATAGTCCAATTTTTAAAAACTATTTCCACCATTGTGCTGTAGAGATCTTGGCAGGTAACTGCATCTGTTTCAAAAACTCCTTTTGGCAGAATGTCTCCATAGTATCTGTCCATATATTGAGGGGAGAAATTCGAATATGTGCTGTAATAATCTTTGGTAACCCCTAATAAATTTCATTTTAGAATAAAGCAACCTCTGGGCATTCCCACCAGAGATAGAAAAAAAAAAGCCACTTTAGTCTCACAACCCTTCCAGCAGAAAAGTTAGAAAATTTCTTATTCACTTTACAGTCGAAAGAACCTCAACGCGACGTACGAAACAGAAACCTACTCACAACAATATAGTAATAATGAAATAAAAAACCATATTTAAACAGCATTCCATTGTTCAACCCACCCACAATTCATCTCCCTTAGTACAAAACCCCAGCCTATCACTTTATGCGTCCAGAGTAGCTGATCAGACAAAAACTCACACAGCCTCCAGATTAAAATAAAAATCGCAAATAAAAATAAAAGGGAGCCGTTGTTGAAGGGTGGCTAACTGGAGATTGATTTGGGCTGCATAAAGTTACATTTGGTGTTCTGTGTCTGACCTCTCCACCTTGCTGGCTCTCAGATTATAAAACAAAATATTCTGACTTACCGTATTTTTTGTTCCATGAGACGCACCTGACCATAAGACGCACCTAGTTTTTAGAGGAGGAAAACAAGGGGGGGGGGATTCTGAACGAAACAGTGGGTGTATGATTTTTGTGGTTCATGCTGTGGCCACAGACATCTGATTTGACGGTGAGTTTGGTATAGCCCAATGCAAAAATCCTGAGGATCCATGTGGATCCATGCTTTGTAACCACGTTTTTGTGCCATTGCGGCCCCACAAAACAGTGGATGCATGAATTTTTGGTGCAGGCTATAGCCATGGACATGCTATGTGATCGGATGGTGAATTTGGGGTGACCCAATGCCAAAATCCTGAGGATCCATGGGCTTTTACCTCCCCCCTCCCAGGCAGCCTCCTTTATCGATAGTGTCCCTTATCTCCCTCCCGATCACTTGTCAATCAGCTGCTCAGCGGCTTTGTTTCAACATTCATTTCCCTCTTTCTAAAAAAAAAAAAGCACAATCTGCTTTTTGCCCCTGGGCAATTCAGCTTCAGGGACCACGCATTTGCTCCATAAGACACACAGACATTTCCCCTTACTTTTTAGGAGGAAAAAAGTATGTCTTATGGAGCAAAAAATACGGTAACCAAGTAGGATCTGGCAAATGAATGGGAGGAGGAGAATCTCCAAATGCTTATCTTTCCCTTTTCTACCCTTAGTTGAGATTTTATGTCCATGTTAAGCCCTTGATTTTACTGTGTAGTAATAACGCAACATAAAAATTGTTATTACTCATTATAGAAGAGATCAAATGTAAATGATATATATACACATATACACACACCTCAGAGAAAAGGGGAAAAGCTTTCTAATTATTTCTCAAATGGAATATGCATAAGCATTTTGTATGAAAACACTCAGCATGCTCCTCTTTTCAAAATCCGCAGCATTAGCCATAATGGCTTCGTTCAGCATTTGTACTAAAGCTCTGAAGCTCTGATCCATGTATGTTTGGCATAAGACCTCCACATTTTTTTAAAAGGAACATTTAGGCGTTTGGGTGATAAGCAAAGAAAAATGCTAATGAGCATTCTTTTTCTGAAAACGTCATTTGCTCCAGTGATAAAGCGAAGTCTTCACCCTTGGAAAAAGAAGTAGTTGGTAATAAGACTATCTTTGCACAGCAGGGCTGTGTATACTGCCTGCTAAAGATAAATAAATTCTGCCATTGGAATTCTGTGCCAAGAAAAAATAAAATTTTGTGACCTGTATGAATGATGCAATTTGAGGATATTGGCATAGTCCCCCCCCCCCCTGTTTTGTGCGATTCAGTGTCGCCTGGATCTTGGCGGCAACACTGTGTCCTGGGTCTCTGACTCAGGGCCGTCTTTACCTGGGAGGTGCAAAGGTGCGGTTCACCTGGGTGCCAAATTCTGGGGGGCGCCAAATGTATACCTACTGTATACCAGTCCCTCCCTAGCAAGCTGACCAACTTTTCCTGGGGAGAGGACATCACACCAGCGCCTCCGATCCTGGCGCAAAGGGTGTGAAACTCCCTCCTCCGCTCGCTACCAGACGGCCCTTAATTCTCTCCTGTTCCAGCAGTTCTGTATCTCTGTAATCCCACCTCTGCGGTTCTCAGGGTCCCTTAGGGACTTTGGTTGATCCTGCCAATTGCCTGGTATTGTCAGCTAATTGGAGTGGAAGTGCAAAAAATGGAAAGTCATATTATTAAGCTGCCAAGTCTCCTCGCTTGGCAGAGAGCAAGGGAAGGCTTCTGGTAATTGTACCAGAAGTTATAATTGCTCTGCGTTCTCTGCCTCGAGCTTTTCTCACAAAGCAAGTCCAGTATCCTTCATCTGGAGACATCCGATACTGGCTTTTCTCCGATACTCTCTGACGGAATGCCGCACTTGAAGTGAATCCAATTGTGGACTCTTGCACTGTGAAAGAGGATGAAACCGCCTCTCTCGTTCTCTCTCTCTCTGTGCGTGCCATTGAATGCTGAAGTGGATAACACAGGCTAAGTACTTTGTCAATATGTCATTCCAAGCAAAACTGGCAGCTAATTTCCCCCCTTGCTTTCGTGCGCTGCATTGTCTCCATTCCCTGGAGTGAAGATGCCACTGTCACATGCCAATCATGGCCAGCGGCCAGAGCAGGCTCAGCGATGCGGAAAAAGCTGGTGCCAACCAACTGGCAGCCTGTCCTTGCAAGAGGTGCGACAGAAAGGCAGCTTTGCCCAGGAGGGATGAATTTGGTGACTGCAAATGGCCGCGGAATAGCGCAAGAATAGCTGCATTGGACCAAGCATGCATCTGGCAGCAGAGCATCCTGTCACTCCACAGCGGCCAATCAGGTGCCTCCAGGAAGCACACAAGCTGGGCACTAAGGCAACAGTTGGCAAGGGACTGCCAGGAGTGTGCACTGAGGGAAGGGGGTCAGAATCTGGCTCGGGAGAGGGGGCCAGTGATTTGTGGGGAACTGTACTAGCCAAGAGGCAAGAGTCAGAGACAGGAGACACTTCAGAGTTGGAGGGTGAAGCACAAGAGGGGGTTGGTAGTAGAGGAGGAAGAGGCAGGTCAGGCAAGGGAAAGGGCTGGGTGCTTCCCCACTCTCTCCTGGACCACTGTCTCCCAGAACCAGGAGAGGATTGAAAGGGAGGAGCAGAGGAAGTTTCCACATGGTGTAGTCCCTGGCTGCATGTGTGCATTACATCGAGGGAAGGTACCTAAGCTGGTGGAGAGGGAATGGTCTCCAGTTGCTTCAGCTGCTCCATAGAGCTGCCTGGATGCTAGATTGTCATGCATAGGTGTCAGGGATTGTCTCCACCCCCATCATTCAGCCCAGACACTGAGGTCCAGCACCGAGGGCCTTTTGGCGGTAACCTCACTGCGAGAAGCGAGGTTACAGGGAATCAGGCAGAGGGCCTTCTCCGTAGTGGCACCCACCCTGTGGAACGCCCTCCCACCAGATGTCAAGGAAGTAAACAACTGTCTGACTTTTAGAAGGCATCTGAAGGCAGCCTTGTTTGGGGAAGTTTTTTAATGTTTGAAGTTTTATTCTGTTTTTAGTGTTCTGTTGGGAGCTGCCTGGAGTGGCTGGGGAAACCCAGCCAGATGGGCGGGGTATAAATAATAAAAATAAGAGGAGGAGGAATGGTGGAGGTCTCTCCTGCCCTTCTCCTGTAGCTGCCAGAGAGGAGGAAGGCAGTCTCGAATTACAGCAGGGCTTGGAGGAAGATAGCAGCTCAGAGACAGGCAAACAGCCGAGTTGTGCTGTGTTAGGAGAAGGAGGAGGGGAGACAGACCGGCTAGCTGACATGTCATTGGATAGCATACCTGACGCCCCTTCTCCCCAAATGCGGCGTTTGTTAAGGGTGCTAGAACAAAGAGCACAGAGACAATTGTCCACGGACAGATGCCGTAGAAGCAGGTGCTGTTGCTAGAGAGGGAGAGGGAGGGAGCTCAGTGAGAGCAACTCCATTACGGAGGAATGACCGCAATTCTTTTGTCGTGATGACTGAATAAATAATAAGTAAGAGCTTTCTTGTTCCCTCCCTGCCACTTGGTGCCATTGTGGGGGTGGGGGGAAGAGGATTCCTCAAGTCTGACAAGAGTTGTATCACTTCAGAAGTTTTAGCCCTAGGGCTTTTTGTGCCATTTGGCCTATCCATTTGCCACGGAACAGCTGGTGGTTATATTATTGTTGGCAGGTGATTGCGTCATAAAGATTGCAACATTATTTGTTTATTTAAATAATTTCATAGAAAAAGAGTGTTGGAAGGGAAGATGAGAATCAACCCTCTGCAATGAAGGAAACTTTCACTCAGCATGGGGCTAGAACCGCATGACCATGAGATTAAGAACCTCCTGCTCTACCAACTGTGCTACCATGTTGCTTAACTGCAGTCGTCTCTAGGCAGTGTGCAGGAGGCCCAACGCAACGTTAATTGATCATGTTTCCATTGAGTGTTCCGTTTTATGATGCGGAATAGATCTCATAATTATTTTCATGACCATGATTTTTATGGTGCACGGGTGGCCCAATACAATATTCACTGATATTGTATGTATTGCAGGATCGATCCCTGTATGGAACAGCTGCATATTCCTGCATTGCAATGGGTTGGACTAGATCAGGCATGTCCAACTCCCAAGAGACTGTGATCTACTCCCACTATAAAAAAACTTGCAGTGATCTACCCATTGGATTGACCAAAACTTGTTGAGCTTTTTTGGGAGAGCCAAAGTTGAGGGTTTTTTTGGGGGGTGCAATCATACAAATGACCAGGGACGCCCCGTGATTGACTGGTGGATCATGATCAAACTGTTGGACATGCCTGGACTAGATGATCCTCTGGGTCCCATCCAACTCTACGATTCCTAACCCTTCCCCACGCATCACAGTGACCACTCTCACTATGAAAGAGGTCATTGATGTGAAGGAACCAGAGCTAAGAGTGGTTTGTCCAATGGGCCTGACTTGTTTACCATGAAATATTACACACATATAAGTATCACAGTACTGCTGCTTCTCTGGGTGGCTTGCATAAAAGATTCAAACACTGTTTCAATATAGTAAAAGCAGAAATGGCGGTGTAACATTTGGCACAAAATGACCTGCTCTGGAGAGAGAAAAAAGGTAGCTGACCTCTTGTTAGGAACGGTTCGTGTGTTCCTGGATTATGCCGAACCACAAGAGTGGAAAATTGCTGTGTGGATGTGCTGATTCTCTATTTCTGGCACCTGCTTTAGCTACTCTCCCTTGATCTGCTTCCAAATGACTAAAAAGCCAAACGTTTTAGTTGGCTGAACTTAGTAATGTATGGCAAAGGGAGACTTTGTCAAATGCCGGAGGGTAAAGAACACTGCTTCTAGATGCAACATGGAGTACATGGAGGTATTTGTGTCCCTGTTGATGGCATGTGTAGGATGAAGAGTACATCGACTTGGTTGGGGGGAGCTATTTTGTGAGTTCTTGCATTGGTAGACTCTGAATTCTACAAAGCCTGAACATCTTTGTTGTTGAAGCAATGAAAATCTACAAAGTGTTTTGTTGTTGTTGTTTAGTTGTTTAGTCGTCTCCGACTCTTCGTGACCCCATGGACCAGAGCATGCCAGGCACTCCTGTCTTCCACTGCCTCCTGCAGTTTGGTCAAACTCATGCTGGTAGCTTCGAGAACACTGTCCAACCATCTCATCCTCTGTCGTCCCCTTCTCCTTGTGCCCTCCATCTTTCCCAACATCAGGGTCTTTTCCAGGGAGTCTTCTCTTCTCATGAGGTGGCCAAAGTATTGGAGCCTCAGCTTCAGGATCTGTCCTTCCAGTGAGCACTCAGGGCTAATTTCCTTCAGAATGGATAGGTTTGATCTTCTTGCAGTCCATGGGACTCTCAAGAGTCTCCTCCAGCACCATAATTCAAAAGCATCAATTCTTCGGTGATCAGCCATCTTTATGGTCCAGCTCTCACTTCCATACATCACTACTCGGAAAACCAGAGCTTTAACTGTATGGACCTTTGTTGGCAAGGTGATGTCTCTGCTTCTTAAGGTGCTGTCTAAGTGGTATATGAAGCTTAAAAACAAGACACGGTCACCTACATGTGAACATGTTCACCATAAGCATGATCGTCTATGTGCTGGAAACTGGAAATCTGTAAAAGCCACAAGGGATATCTGCTATGGAGGAAGAACATAGGAAGCTACCTGTCAGGAGTCCAGGTTCCCAGCTTGATAACACAGTAAGCGTAGGTAATTAAAAAGGAGGACTCATTGCAAAAACAAACAGATAGCTCCAGATGGCTCTAACACAGCCGCCAGCACTGCTGCTGCTGCTGCTCTGGTGAGTGCTGGGTGGGCCGCTCCCTTTCCTGCCAGCTCCATCTCGCCTAGGGGGCGGAGCCTGCACTCACCGCCACAGCTTAAGAGGCCGGAGAGAGGCTTCCGGGACACTGCTGCTGCTCTGGTGAGTGCTGGGTGGGCCGCTCCGTCTCCTGCCAATTCCATCTGGCCTAGGGGGCGGGGCCTGCACTCACCACTACAGTTTAGAGGCCTGAGCAGCTACCTGCAGCAAGTGACAAAATGGTTTTAAATGTTTTAACTGCTTTTAATTTGCTGCACCTTAAATGGTGGTGGTTGTTGTTTATAATGTTTTATAATTTTATAATTGTATTTCTGCTTGCCGTTGGTTAAGTATTTAGTTAGGGTGGGGAATAGTTTAATTTTAGCACTATTGTTTTTTGCTGTGCTTCTATTTTTATTATTCTGTTAAGTTATTATTTAGTTTGTATTTTGCCTTTTAAGGGGAAGGGTCAGGGCTGCCTGCTAGTGGGCCTCGGCCAATAGAATGGCTGGGGCAGGTTCCACAGGAGGGAATGTATTGGGACACCCGATCTCAGTGATCATGGGCCGGAGGAGGAGTTACGCTAAGACCAGACCATGTCATTACCGAGGAGTCAGGTTTAGTCGTTGTTTGGGGACTATCCCTGCCTCCAGGTCTGGTCCTCACCGGAAGGATACTGGAATCAGCAAGGGAAACCCACATGACCTGAAAGTGTTGCTGTGCAATGCCAGGTCAATGATGAATAAAACCACTGCCATCCACGACCTGATTGTGGATGGAGGATTTGACCTGGCATGTGTGACAGAGACCTGGTTGGATGAGGCAGATGGGCCTGTCCTTGCCGCTGCTTGCCCACCAGGTTTCTCTTACGCACAGCAACCCAGGTCATGTGGGCGGGGAGGGGGGGTTGCAGTGATTTTTAGGAAGTCATTAGTCTGCACCAGGCGTCCTATTGGGAAGACCCAGTTCTCTGAGTGCATGTTCTGGAAGTTGGGCAATAGGGGCAGTACAGGATTCCTATTGGTGTACCGACCTCCCCGCTGCACCAAGGATTCCCTGCCCGAGCTGCTTCAGGTCGTGGCGGATATGCTCCTGGAGACACCTAGCTTGGTTGTCCTGGGGGATTTTAATATCCATGCCGACACGACCTTACAAGGGGCCGCAAGGGACTTCGTGGGAAGCATGGCCTCCATGGGGCTGTCCCTGAATAAGTTTGGCCCAACTCATAGCTGCGGACATGCCTTAGACTTGGTGTTTACCTCTACGGATGTTGGTGATCTGACATTAACTAAAAGCGAAACAAAAGAAGTGCCATGGTCAGATCACTTCCTGGTGCAACTGGACTTCTCCGCGACCCTTCCCCTCTGCAGGGAGGTGGGACCGATTCGGATGGTCCGCCCCCGCCACTTAATGGATCCAATTGGCTTCCAGAGAGTGGTAGGGGATGTTTTATCCCAAGCTGATGGCCTTTCAGCTGATTCCCTGGTGGCCCGCTGGAATGTGGAGTTAACCAGGGCTATTGACTGTCTGGCTCCGAAGCGCCCTCTCCGATTGCATGGAGCCCGGACAGCCCCGTGGTTTTCCCTGGAGCTGAGGGTGATGAAACAATCGTTGAGACGGCTAGAGCGCCGGTGGCGGAAAACTCATTCTGAATCAGACCGGACACGGGCTAGAGCTCAACGTCGAGCCTACCAAGTGGCAATGGCGACAGCGAAGAGGGCCTTCTTCACCGCCTCCATTGCATCTGCAGAAAACAGCAGCAGGAGACTTTTTCAGGTGGTTCGCAATCTATCGGAACCACCTGCACCACCGGGGCCTGGTAGGGACCCCAAGATCTCCTGCAATGCTTTTGCAAAGTTTTTGCAGATAAAGTCGCTCAGATTCAGAAGGAGGTAGACTCCACCGTGGGAGCAGGGCCAGGGTGGGAGAGTGCTAGAGTTCTGTCTAGTCCTGTTACATGGGATCAATTCCAATCTGTTACCTCCGAGGATGTGGACAGGCTGCTTGGACAAGTGAAACCGACCACCTGTCTCCTTGATCCTTGCCCATCCTGGCTGATAAAAGCGAGCCGGGAAGGGCTGGGCGATGGGCTCTGCGGGGTGGTGAATGCTTCCCTCTGTAAGGGAGCCTTCCCAGACCCGCTGAAAGAGGCGGTCATTAAACCGCTTCTTTAAAAAAATCTTTAGACCCAGCCAATTTGGCCAACTATCGCCCAGTCTCAAATTTACCATTCTTGGGCAAGGTGATTGAGCGGGTGGTTGCCAAACAACTCCAAGCACGCCTGGAGGATGCGGACCATTTGGATCCCTTCCAATCGGGATTCAGGCTTCACCATGGGACTGAAACTGCCTTGGTCGTGCTGGTTGATGATCTCCGGCGGGCTAGGGACAAAGGTGAGAACTGTTTCCTAGTTCTGCTGGATCTCTCAGCGGCCTTTGACACCATCAACCATAACATCCTTCTGGACCGTCTAGAGGGGCTGGGAGCTGGGGGCACTGTTATACGGTGGTTCCGCTCCTTTCTCCTGGGCCGTGTCCAGAAAGTGGTGGTGGGGGATGAGTGTTCAGACCCCTGGGCTCTCACTTGTGGGGTGCCTCAGGGTTCCGTCCTCTCCCCCATGCTTTTTAATATCTATATGAAGCCGCTGGGAGAGATCATCAGGGGGTTTGTGCCGGATGTTCATCAGTCTGCAGATGACACCCAGCTCTACCTCTCCTTTAAATCAGAACCAGTGAAGGCGGTGAAGGTCCTATGTGAGTGCCTGGAGGCTGTTGGAGGATGGATGGTGGCTAACAGATTGAGGTTGAATCCTGACAAGACAGAAGTACTGTTTTGGGGGGACAGGGGGTGGGTGGGTGTGGGGGATTCCCTGGTCCTGAATGGGGTAACTGTGCCCCTGAAGGACCAGGTGCGCAGCCTGGGAGTCATTTTGGACTCACAGCTGTCCATGGAGGCACAGGTTAATTCTGTGTCCAGGGCAGCTGTCTACCAGCTCCACCTGGTACGCAGGCTAAGACCCTACCTGCCCGTGGACTGTCTTGCCAGAGTGGTGCATG